GTAACAACTCTGAAGAGAAGGAACTTCCTTCAACTCTTGGGGCCAAAATATGATCATTTTGGAGTTGATCCAGAGGCTGAAAGGTTGTCGTTTTTTTTCAAAGAAAAAAATGAAGGGGGCGAATCTGTGAACCAACAAATTAAATTGGTGTGGCCTTAGTAAGGTTAAAAAGATTCTTACCTTGAAAGTGACCATATCGCCACACAACAGACTGCTCTTGCTGGAGTGCAGCACACTGATGGCCGCGTTAGGGGACGTTCGGGTCAGCGTGGTGTTCCCGTTACCCAACGTGTACCCAGAATCCTCTGCAACCTCCCACTCTGAGAAAACAACAGTAAAACATTTAAAGTAACGGTTATGGTTGATTGGCTGCAAGATACAGACACTGCAATACTATTGGCTGCAAGATACAGACACCGCAATACTATTGGCTGCAAGATACAGACACTGCAATACTATTGGCTGCAAGATACAGTCACTGTAATATTATTGGCTGCAAGATACAGACACCATAATATTATTGGCTGCAAGATACAGACACCGTAATATTACTGGCTGCAAGATACAAACACTGTAATATTATTAGCTGCAAGATACAGACACTATAAATAATATTATTAGCTGATACAGGCACTAATTTTCTTTCAAGGTTGCTGGCTTTTAGCCATTCTATTTGCAAAGTCGAGACTTAACTTTATCAAAAAGGACATTATCATGACACATTTCTGGAGATCTTTAGTCAAGAGACACACACAAAACATGTGAGAGAATGTGAATGTTGCGTAGTTGATTTGGTTACCATGCTGCAGCAAAGTTGTCCTAGCAACTTGTGGAATGCTCCATGGAGACCAGCCACGGACCATCTTGCAGCACACTCTGAAACTGTAGTCCACGTTTAACTGAAATAAAAGTAAGATAATATAGTATTATATGTGGTTTCGGGGTTTCATACTCAGAACACGTATAGACCATTTTTTTCCTTATTGTATTTTGCAAAAAATCTGTTGTCAACCACGTAACCAGAACCCTGCTGAGCTTCCATACATTTATTAGCAAACTTCATCTAAGACAGGGCCAAGAATGAAGCCCTGGAGGACACCATATGCTTTGACATTATGAACTAGAGCTGTACAGCTTTATGTGACTTGACATATATGAACGACCTTGTCGAAAAGTGGCCATTCTGGCTGAACAAGCATTCGAGAATAAAGAATGGCATTCAACAAACAAACAAATGAAATAAACAACCTTCAGGTGTTTGACAGTGCAGCAGGTGTCTTGGCCCTGGTACGCTTCGCGGAACTTTGTTGTGTTCATGGTGACCCTGTCCACCCTCCCGCAGCAGTACTGCAGTCTGTACTCTACTGGGGACTGCTTCTCTGGAATGTCATCATCTTCTATCTACAAAACAAAAGAAACCTTTGTTAGAACACATGTAATTTGCACTGTTGGTAATTCCATCACCAGCGAAGAGACATCTGACATGGCAAGTTTCAGTAAGTTTTGTTTTGTTTGAGGAAGCTCAAAAATTACTTAGAATAGAAGTGGTTTCTGAGCAAAGAAAGGGCTACTGTAAATATGAAGAATTATACTAATCATTATCCAAGCAGCCTTAGCATATGTACTGTAAGATAAATGACCATGTCATAGATAATTTCCTGGCCTGGTTCAAACATTGGGACAGTCAATGCAAAAGCTTCTAATGTGTTATGAACTTCAACAATAAAATTATACACGTATAATACTATGAAGATATTTCCTCAACATGGATTCTTTTAACCAAACAACATCATAGAAAACTACATCAATGTTTACACTTTATGTCTTATAAACCACAACATCCCCTTTTCTGTACGCTCACCTCAGACCAGGATGTACTCACCCCACACCACGATGTACTCACCTCATACCATGATGCTAGAACCCCTCCTGGCCTCTCCCGTAGCTCCTCTACCTGGACCGGTGCGTGGGCCAGGACGTACCCGTCACTCCCAATCTCCTCCGGCAGTTCTGTGATACAGGCTGGGTCCAGGCCAGCCAGCAGGATACAGGGGACCTCAGACAATGGGGGCACCTCTGGCAAGCTGCAGTGACAAGCAATGTTGCTAGAGGGCTCTGATGTATTGGTTACTAAAGAGATGAACCAGGTCAAGCACATAGAAATAGTACTACATACCGGTAACGTTACATTGTACTCCTTCCCCTGCATTCTTATTTAGCTCCTTTCAAATTTGGACTGAGGAACAATAAAAAGAGTCAAATTCTTTGCTCTTTTACTTCAATAAGATAGCTGAGACTCCTATTATATTCAAGTTGTGGATCACTGGGTACTAGATTTTTTTTTCTTTTTTTTAACGGTGTCACTCAATGCAAAGCCAATTATTAGTGAGTATAATGTAGTTATGTCAGGAGATGGCGGTGGACCTTTATTTTGAAGCTTTGTGGATTGTAATCGGACGGAAAGCAATTTCCTACATGAAATAGCCCATGTGTTGATCATGGCCAGATAAAACATACCTGTTGAGTGATCTACTGTTGTTCCTGTCACAGAATGACTTCAGCTCCGCTGCTGCTATGACTTCACTGGCTTCTACTAGCTTCTCTCCTGTGATATGAAAACAATGAATGGAGAGCTAATATGCAAATAAATCTTCACATTGTTTGAACCACTTAAGTCTTAATTGCTGAAGAAATTTCATTTATACCTCTACACCTTTTGAATCTTCTACTTTTTGAACCATTTTAACAGTCATGACACATTTACATAAAGAGATATTGGAAGTTCACTTCTTTAGACTACATACATGTTATCTTATCTTATATGAATACTGAGCCAAGGTCCCGCGAGGGACATCATGCTCAGGGGCTGGGAGGTGCAGACCCAAGCGCGGCCGGTGGTGCTGGTGGTGCGTACCGAAAAAAAAGACGAGACAAAAAACAATCTAGTGATTTGGGCTAATCCCACAATAAATGTGCAAAAAGTGTTAACAACAACAAAAAATGTGAGTGGCCACACTTGGGAAGGTACATTGTTAACTCTGGGTGGGGGGAAGGCCCAAATATTGAGCCAGCCCCCGTTTATATTGACTGAGTGTGGTCACTGATACTAAATGTTGTGGGAGGTTATTCCATTCTGGCACCGTTCTTGGGAAAAAAGCTACCTCTGTGTACCTCTGTCTTGGTTGGGAATACCACAAAACGGTGGGAGTGGCCTCTAGTGGAGCGTGTGTTTAGTGTTATGTAATTGTGGGTATAGCTATCATGATTGTTATGAATGGATTTGTAAATGAGTGCTAAGCGGGCTATTTCTGTGTTGCTGTAGTGTCGGTAAGCCATGTGTAGTACGGAGATGTGTGGCGCTTGTGGTGTGTCTGTCATCCCTGGATATGAACCTAACCCCTAAAGATGTTGCTCAATCTATCTTTCAAAAGTTCACACTAGTAACATATTAATTTCTTAACACTAGTAACATATTTTACTGACCAACAGCGACATAGATCAGATTGAAAATGAAGTTTGAGAGCATATCTATGTGTAACTCACCTTCTTCTATCACAGTTAAATCCTCTATGATGGAATTCTTAACAACATCTTCACATTCCCTGAGTGGCTCCAAGGATTCGACCTCTATCTCCTCTACCCTATCCAGCAGCTCCCTCTGTCTGGTGTCTATTGCACTGCAGATGGCCTCCTTCAGCTCCTGGAAGTGTTTTTCCACTGTAGACTTGGCTTCATGGGCAGAACTTTCAACCTATTGTAAAATGTAGAAAGAATGCCTAAATATTTTTATTCCTTTTTCTAAATGTATACAACCATTTCAAAGCATATCTAGCATCATAATGGACATTAGACTCTAGAAAGGATGCTTTGAAGTGACCCAATGCTTAGTATAGACTCCCCAAAACACCATTATCTGACATTACGATCTACCTTACATTCATTCATGTATATTCCCTTTTGATGAGAATATAAAAAGGTTTTGAGTTATCTTAAAAACAGGATGTCTTTTTTTTGCTGTTGTTAATTACTTCTGTTGACATGGTCCTATTTTACATAAATAGCAGCAGGGCTGCGTTCAGGAAGATAAGAAACAGGTCGACCTCGGGAGAAATTGGAAACCTGCTGCAACTCTCCATAATAAAGGATATCATTAAGTCAGATAATGCAATTATTATGTGGGCCATTCAATACATCCTCTTTGATAATAAAAGCCATTTATAAGGCTTCTTTCTACGAGGATCTCATGAAATATTCAATAACATCTCCAGGCAATCATCTCTATAGTGACATATTGGTCACAGGCACAAATGGGACAAAACATCTTTTATTCATGATGTCCCCCAAAGGCATGTCAATGTAAGGGCTAGGATGACACTTGGTAAATAGGGAACCACAGATATGAAAGGAGTTAAATCATGCATGCATCTATGATGAGGTAAATTGATGAGGTATTTACGAAAGCATCTAATAAAATGCAACTGGTGTAGAGCGCAGTAATTTTGGTGAAATGTCAACTTGACATTTAAAAATAGTTTTGGGATTACAAAATTCTAAACACAACCATGTACTAGTATATAAAGGAAACGGTTCTGAAACAAAAAAGAGTGCTACTGGTACATGTATACTGGGGTACTAGTAATTATGTCCTACCTGGGCCGCGATTACGTTCGATACGGGTGTTCCGGCCTGTGTGATAACTAGCGGTACGGCCCGGGGGTTCTTAACGCGTACGGCCTGGGGCTTCCAAATGTTCCATACAACGATTCGAACGCGTTTCGCCCTAACCGCTTGAACCGCTTTCGAAAATTCGAACACAAAATTCGGACGTTGGAATTGATGTTGTTGCATTGTTTGGGTTTAGGGACACCAAATATTCGCCTATTTCGCATTAAAAGGCGTGTTTTCTTGGGTGGGTATGACATAAATAAAATACAACCTCGGTCCCAGCCCTCCCGTGGATCGGATCTCCCTTTGGCCGTCGGGCGATCCGACGCGCGGTCGGGCTGGTATCTCGGGCGATACAGAATACCCCGTGTTGTATTCTATATTTATTTATGATAGGCTGAGTACAGTAGATCAGATTAATATTGACAGTTTGTTTGTTTAGTTTTGTTTGCCATGAATTTTGTACAGAATAATTTGCGTGTTCATAAATTCTATGCAACCAAATTTATCATGCCATGCTGGGTTATTTGACATGTGGTGTCTGGTATTAGAAAGCCATTTCTGTTACTTCCTATTACTGCTAAGTGCACTGAAATCTTTCAGTGTAACACCACATCATAATTGACTTTCACTAATGGATAGGGCACACACTCGGCACTAAAATAACTGGCATATTTCAGAATCATGTAGCTCAAATGTCAACTGCATTAAGTATTATATGTACAAATGTAGTTAACTGTTACCCATGTTGTCTCTTTCACACTATATATATATATCACACCATCACATGATTCATACAATGTTAAATGTTTTTTACACATGTAAAGGTGTGCTAGAATATACAGTGCAATTTTACAGAATACAGTGCAATTTTACAGAATACAGTAAAATTGTATTAGTACACAGTGCAATTTTACAGAATACAGCACAATGGTATTAGTATACAGTGCAATTTTACGGAATACAGTGAAATCATATATCAATATACAGTGCAATTTTACTAGTACATATATTCGGAATACAGTGAAATCATATATCAGTATACAGTGCAATTTTACAAGTACATACACATGTATATTCCGTAAAATTGTATACTAGTAAAATTGCACTGTGTTCCGTAAAATTGCACTGTATACTCTGGCACCCCTTATGTAGTACATGAAAGCTAAGCAAGTTTGAGTTTTTAGACTTGAACAGGCATCAAAATTTTGAGAAAAAGAGTTCCTCTACTGAAGTTTTCTGTACAAAGCCACCATTTGCCGCAGTGGACATCTGTTCCTGCTGTGATAACGATTCTCTGTAAAGTCCGCCAGTCAATAATGAATGTTTGGAGAGCTCAAAAATGCTGACAAATCGGAAACATGCCATAAATTTACTCTTACATCAAAGCGAAAAGTTCTGCTTTAGGATGCAATTTTTTTCTCACTATAATTTTTCCCTGCGTGAGAATTTCATTGCCAAAGGAATTTTAAGGCAAACTAATACTCGCAGCATATGCTGCATTACAAAGTTAATTACTATTGATTAAATCTTTTTTGTGGTATTCTAATTGCTCAGTAATGGCAGTCAAGTGAACTTAACAAGACCATGATTAATTATGTAGCTGCATAGTTATCCTTGTAAAGTAAACATGCATAGAGAAAAAATTACAATGTGTAAGTATATATTTTTAATGATTTTTCCCTTTTTGGCCTCTGTGTTTTAAAACAGATCACTCATCTCCTGTATTTCATTTTGTCCTGATTTAACCTAAAGATACCTCATTCTATCTACAAGTTATTAGTTATAGAATGCTGAAAAAATATTTGCTTCTCTTTATATCTTCTTGCTTGTATATTGCTGATATATGTGAATTTGAAAGAGGTGGAAAATATGAATTAATGGTGCATCATTTTGGATTGATTCCTTGCTAAGTTGATTTCATACCAGTGCTACATGTCCTTTACTCAATTTTCTAAGTTGTAATATAATTACCCAGAAAAGGTTATATTGGTACAAGGGACATGTCGTAAATAGTGATGAACTGTCGCAAATGCCTTGCATTACTGATGCCTCGATAATTATTAACCTTCTCCCTGATACCTAACACTGTAACGAATACAATATTTCTACTGAAAGACCACCTCGGTAGGAAGAAGGTTAAAGACGAAATGGGGGCCCGCAAGCCCTTTTCCGTAGAGCGTAATCGGCCGTTTTATTACTACGTAGAGCGTAGACGGACCGCTCTAATATTTTTGTGTAGAGCGTATTTGGCGTTTTAATTCTACGTAATGCGTTGTAGCCACTTGGAATTTATCGTAAAGCGTAATCGAGAGGTTTCCGAATTCAGCGTAGAGCGTTGTCGGGACCCCCCCTTGCAGGCCCTCCGAAATGATGTACAGCTACCTGTTTCTGGATCAGGCCACAACAGATGTTTGGCCAATGGAGGTCAGAGGTTAAATGGCTTAGGGTTTTCAGTGCAAAGGCAAATGTCAAATCTATTTGTACTTGTGGCTTGAACAGTGCATGTGAATACAAATAGTACGAGTCACTGCTATGTGTTTAGCCAGGAGGCAGTTTGCCAACCTTGTAGTTAATGTCAGAAGGAAACAGACTTTGTTCAATGACTGTATATGGACTTTTTGTCAGACCACCTTGTGGGCCTTCCTATTGTAACATGATGGAATTAGTTTCCATAAAGGAATTGTGGTAACACTTGTATAACACAGCCTTTGTTATACAAATTATGTAGGTCAATGCTACCATTTTTTGTAATCAATCAACTATGCAATTGTGAAGATGTTTTGTCTCTGACCTCTTTTATTTCCAAGAATCAAAAAAAGTAACTTAGTAAATGGGCCTTTGTTTTTGCACCCTAAAAGTCTCCACCTCCCAAATGAATCCAAAGACCCCCAGGGTAATGTTTGTTTATCATTGATGAAAACATTAGTGATTAGTATGTACAAGGACATTATACACATATACGTCTAAACAATATAGTCTACTGAGGATGTCATCAACATAAAATTATGATATGAACCATCACAGGAGCGAGGGGACCTTGTGTAGGAATACCTGTATTGCACATAAAAGAACGTGGAGATACCATATCATATTGCTCATTGGAACATAAGTTACCTTAGTCTGTGTATAATGTCCTTGGTCTGTGATATTAAAAAATAATCAGCTAGTGCAACGAACCTTTGTGGGTTGAATTTTTAGAAAATGAACATGAAAATAACTTTCTTGTTTTTATTATCTGATGTAACTTCAAAAGACACATATGTAAGCTTGGGATAAATTTCTATCAGTGAAAGACCATCAAAATCACAGGTAGCACGATATGTTTCACACTTGCATCATATGTTGTAAATCACCAGACGTATGATAATTTTCTCACCTGAGTTTTGGCCAGCCCAAGGAGCTTCAGCCTGTCTTCGAGTTGTTGCACGTGTTCCCTCGCCTGTAAGATCGTTTCCCTGATGGAAGACAGTTCCTGCAAGTCTCCCATCTCGTCCGGCGGTGTTTTTACATCTCCCGATCGCGGCTAGAGTCTGGATTTTGGCGAGGTAAACATGTCAGACATGCTCCTCCTCCTTCTTCTGTCCGCCTTCCGGGGGAAACCGGAAGTGAGGGCGAGTTGCGCGCGCAGGTCGCCGTGTCAATTAAGTTTAACATTCCCAGGATGCACTGCGAAACCTGGGTGGTAAATCATTTGCATTAGCACAGGAAGGCATCTTCAGTGTGTTTTGATGTGTTGTAAAGAATGAAGTTTTTGTCCTTTTTAACATGGAATATGTGGTTTGTAACGTTATAGTGGTATTAAACGCTATACTGTCTGTTAGAACGTTAAACCACTTATTCCATGGGCCTTCCATGCATGGAGGTAGAAAAAGAGACTCTCTTTTTCGTCTTTTTCTACCTCCATGTTCCAGGTTAGAAAGAACACAAAAAACTTCATTCTCTATTTGTTGTCAGATTCGACCCATAGTAATCTAATTAATCTTGAGCATCAAAATACCCCAACGCCTCAAAACATATGCCTTCCTGTGCTATGCAAATGAGATTTACCACCCAAGATTCGCAATGCATCATGGAAACTGGAAACTCGTGAATGCCTAGTCTATTTCCCCGGGCTGTGATTGGTTTATTCTCTAGGTGAAAGGTCACACAGAACCTTGGCGCCTTTTCTTGTGTCTTTCCAAATTTTCTCCCGCTTGAAATTTTCCAAGAGGGATTTCGGATGCTGTTCTAGCGAGTGTTTGGCCGATCGCGAGGAATATTTGTACCTTTGCGGAGGAAATTATTTCGGCATGGAGATAAGGTATGTGGAAGTTCCGAGAACGAGAAGTTAAGGCTTTTTTTTTTTTCGGAAAACAGACAAAGCAAAATTTTGGTGAAAATTGTCGGATGTGGGGAGGGCGATTTTTGCAGTAGATAAACATCCGCATCAAGTCAGAGGATTTGCAACTTTTCAGTAAGATAAATATGTTTTGTTTAAGTACGGGCCACACGAGGAAAAGATGAAAAAGATGAAAATTATATTGGTGTTATTTTATTTGGTATGACTATAGGATAGAATACAGTATATATGAAGGGCGATTTGTAACTTGGGGGAGGGGGGCAATCTGCATGGATTTCCTCTAAAAAAAAATTATAGGGAAATAGGAGGAACCCAGCCTTTGTCTATACAAATTTTAGTATCTAGTACACTGTAAAATATGTTTATTACATGTATGTTTCTTATACAAAAGGCTGCCAGGCTAGCCCCACCAATGTTGGGTGCACTGAGTGTCGCCATGGAGACAACAACGGGGGTGGGCTGCCAGGAACAGGTAACAAAACAGATACAGAGCGTTTAACAATGTTGTAAGGTTTATATGTTCAAAAGCTAGGTGTACATTGCGTGCCCTTGAAGCTGGTGTGTTATACCGGCAGATACAGATACAAAACAGGTTTTTTTTCAACCAACTTGTAAACAATGACAACAAAATTTAAGTTTCATTCAGAAAGTGTGTTTTACTCTCTTCAGAATTTTGAGCATTCCTCTGAACACCTGAATAAAACCGGAATGTTGTTATTGTCCCTGCTTAACGAAATTTGCTAGAAGTGGTATATCTATTCTCAACGATGTAGGTGCTGGGTTGCACTTGGTTCAAGTTCGTACTGGCAGTCTCACTAGGTTTTGTCCCTGAGTGACTTGTGCTGTGTTGTTGGAAATGTTTCTAGATATTATACATCCATATCAAGTCTATGTGTACTCTCAATATTCTCTTTAGAGAATCACATCTGTGTGCTGATTTCTTCTCACACTCATTCCACACAACAGCCTGGTAAGGAGAAGATGGCAGCGGTGAAGTGCCCCCCTCCCGCCCCTAACCTCATCACACAGTACTTCAAGTCCCCGCCCAAACCTGAAGTCACCTCCCCTAAACCCTCAGGCATCATGGGATACTTCAAGCCAATGGGTAAAAGTCCATCACAACAATGTAAGCCACAAGGAATGATGGGTACCAAAATGGCCTCACCTGTCACTGCTCCTAAGTCTCTGTCTGAGAAAGATACAGACAAACCTGTGAAAGAGAAAGTCACCAAGACCAAGCTGAAGAAAGTGGCAAAAGCCAAGAATAAGAAGCCGTCCAACAAGGATGTGGAAGAAGTGAAAGATCAAGATGGCAATCAGGAAGTAGAGGAGAAAGAGTCAGAGAAAGTAAAGGAACTGAAACAGACAGGAACAGAATCCTCGGCATGCTTGAGAACAGAGAATGGGGATGGTGGATCTGTGGGAAACATCAGAAAGTCAAAGAAGAGAAAAAAGAGTGACGTTTTGAACTCTTCTGTTGACGAGTTTGAAGCACAGCCAAAGAAAGCATCCAAGGTGTCAGTTTCAGCAGCACCAGTGGAAAACCTGACAACTTCTCAAGATGAAGCAACTGCTCAAGTTGACAAGAAGACAAAGTTCTCAACCAAGGCAGAAGATGGGAGAGAAGAGATCAAACAAACAGCCACAAATGTTAAGAAACAGGACACTCCACAAGAAGGTAAAGGTAAAAAGCAATCTTCAGAGGAGGGCAGAGATGTGGGAGGAGTTAACCACTGCAAAACAGCAGAGGAAGCTTTGATTGACAGTTCCACAGCTGTAGACAGGTCCATCTGTGAAGTAGATCCAGGTGACGACTCAGTGATGATGATATCTTATCACGACTACTTAGCCAACAGCCAATCAGAAGCTGAGGAGGAAGAGGATGAGGATGACAAGGTTGCTACTGATGTCATTGACCCAGAGAACAATGACCCTAGCCATGTTGAAGCTGAAATATCTTACATCGACTTTCTTAAAGATGGTGTAGAAGAAATAAAAGATGGCCATAACACTGAAGGTGTTAAAGATGTAGACGAAACATCGAATCAGGAAATACCGTATGAAGAGTTTGTGAAAAACATAAGTAACACGACAGGTGAAGATGATAATATGTCTAAACCTTCAGGAGCATCTGTTGGTGGATCACCAAACTCCTCAGGCCAAGGAAAGGTGGTGACAACAGAGGCACAGGTCCACAGTCTCAAAGAGGAAAATGTTCCAAAGCAAAAACATTCAGAGTTACTAAAGCAAGGCAAAAGAGCATCAACTCCTAAGACCAAGGGCAGGAAAAAGTCAAATGTGGTTGTTGAAGAAGTGGACTTAGTCATCGAAGAATCAAGTGACAATAGCAAGAAGGTAAATGAAGAGAGAGCGAAGATCCAAATTTCAAGCACAACTAAAAAGGATGATGATCCAGAAACAAGAGCGCGCAAAGAAGAGGTGAGGAAAAATTTCATGGCAAATTTCCGACAACCTGGCACAAAGAAAAAGGCAGCAGAAACAGAGGGAAAGGATGTGGAGTCTGTAAAAGAAGACCAAGGGAAGGAAAAAGAAGTTGAGGATGTGAAAGCTGACAAGAAACGAGCTGTGAAGTATTCACAACCTGCAGCTAAGAGTAACACCAGGGCAAGAAAACCTGCTGCTAAGAAAGCATCTATAGAGAAAAAAGACGAAGAAGAAAAAGAAAGTCCAGCTTTGAAGAAAACTGAAAGATCTGACATAAAAACCGCAAAGAAGAAAGTCACTCTGGAAGATGCTACATCAACAAAAGTGAGGAAGAAAACTGATAACAAAACTGCAAGAAAGAAGAAGGAGGAAGCAGCGAAAGAGGCAGAATCAGTAGAAGTGGTAGAACCTGAAGTTGAAGAAACACCAACAAGAACCACCAGGTCAGGGAGGAAGTGTGTGTACAGGTCACAGCTGTTGAGCATGGGGTCACCCAACACACCAAGCCCCATCCGGCTCAGACTGACCAGAGTGACCAGGAGGAAGCAAGCCCAACTGGACAATCCTGAAGACTTCACACCCAAGAGCAAGAAAAAGGCAAAGGTTTGTGGACACACCATTTTGTTTGTGGGGAAAATTTTTGTCAGCAAAACTATTTAGCACTCATATAGTATGTGTATGTTAGATACTGGTAAAATACAATTCCAGTGTTTTGCAACAAATTCTTGATTCCTTCCAACTCTAGAAACCCAACGTACAATAGTACTGATCAATGATATACTTATATTATCTCATGTATGTATAAGATGGTGTCTAACCCCCTTAATAGTGATGCATACCGGTTCACTGGACTTGGATCCGGACTTGTAAGAATGTTTAGGTTCAAGTCCAAAAAAAACTAAAAGTCAAGAACCGAGTCCGGATTTATTACCATAAAAGACCATTTCACATACCCCTTTTCTTTCCAAACCACCTAAAACCTTCCGTAGATTGTAAAATCTTTGCTGCAAAATGAAGAAAATATTGCCATCGGGCATCGTCAAGTGTCTGCCTCCATGTTATGTGGCCAAAGTTTCACCCGGACAACATTGCAAGGTTGCCAACATGCAATTTTGTATATGCCATGGGTTATAGGTCCGGACTTACAAGTCCGGACCTGAACCTAAACCTCTGGACTTGAATCCGGACCTGAACCTAAAATTGGGTTTAGGTATGCAGCACTACCCCTTAATTTTACAGATTGTTGAATAACTCATAACTTCTAGAATGAATATATTAAATACTTTGTATCGTTATAGAATGCCAAGGTCACCAAAGCTCAAGAGCTCATTCAAAAAGCAAAGGCACAGAAAAGCAGTAAAGCAAAGTCAAAAGCAGAAAATCGCCCGCAGCCCAAAGTGGCCAGACCCAAGAGACAAGCGGCAAAGCCAAAGAGCCCTGAAGTCGTGGAAATAACGGATGAAACAACAACATCAGGCCCACAGTCAAAAAGGGTCAAAGCAGGAGAAGGGGCAACCAAAGTAGTGTCTCCTAGAGGGAAGAAAAGAAAGATAACTCCCAAGAAAGAGGCACCAAAGGTTGGAAAAGATGGCAAGCCACTACGGTCTTTCCTTGATGTGCTGGGGAAGAAGAAAGTTTCCTCACCTAGAAAAGCTGGTAAGAGAATATCTTTTATTGTTGCTTGATGTTCTTATCGTATGTAATTGTTGTAGTATGCTGTAATACTAGTACATGAATGACAAACTATTTACATTACAACATGTAATTCATCAATGTTTGATCTGGAATAATGTAAAAAAATAGCATGTATCACTTGTTTTAATTTTTCCCAATGATCATAGCTGGTTTGCCAGTCAAAGTTGTCAAGTCTCAGGCACCCAAGTACTTGTTCAATTTCTATTTTTCATCTGTTTTAGATCAAACTTTCAAAGGTTTCAGCAATGACACAGTATATTTCTGTCATTATAGTAGGTTCTCCAAGGAAGGCAGCTGCACTTTTCAGCACATTTGGGAAGAACGTCACCAAAGACGGAAGGTCCAGTCCTCTGGTCATCCTGGATGAGGACAGTAGAGGGTCAGGGTCAGAGAGCTCCATGGATGAGGCCACTTTTGCAGCCCGCAGGTTTGTGGTTCTTGTTTGTTTGTTTGTTTGTTTAAGTATACCGGTAAGCCTTTAAAGGCAAAACACACCAGATTTGTGAAGACCAAACTGTAAGGTTTGATCCACTCACACCAGGTTGGACCCATAATTTTACCCATAAGTGTTTTTGCCCACAGGTTCTTTAATGTGTTTGAGGTCACGGTGTCTACTGAAAAATGACTTTATGTCCCATCTGAGAGGATGTCCTTAACCAAAGCTTAGTACTCACTTCAGGGTTCTTGGGTTCAGGGATGTAATTTTAGCGTAGTGGTACTGGCTGCCTGTCAATGGGCCCTCTTTCCGTGGTGCGGAGCTTTTAAAAATTTGACCTAAAAAAGGGGCCATTTGAGGGATACCCAAAGGGAAAAATGTTATTTCTAAGGTATGTACAATGTATCCTTGATTAGTAATTTTCAACATTTGATCTGGCATTCTTGAACAAAGAAATACAGTCACAATGCCCCTATGCTGTATGTGTAGGGGGGGAAATTTAGCGTAGGGGGTCAAAATTTTAGTGTATGGGGGGAAATTTAGCGTAGGGGGTCTAAATTTTAGCATAGGGGGCCCCTATGCTACTTTATGCAAGCTAGAACCCTGCACTTTTACTTTAGTCAAGTAATGAAATAGGTATGAAATGCCTTTCCCAAGGGTACAACATTGGGATTTTTTAGTAAAAGTTCTTTGACTTTGCAGGAATTTCTTGATGAGTGGCATCCCAGACAGACTGAGGAAACAGATCACCCTGACCGCTGCTCAGGCCCAGGCCTACGCGTACCCGCCCTTCCCAACGGTCAGCCATGTCCAGCAGAGGGACACGGTCATCCCTGATGGACAGCTGGACTTCTGGAACCTACCACACCCGAAAGAGAAGAGCATTCCAACGGCAGAACTTCAGACTGATTGGAATTTTGAAAGCAAGGATCTGAAGGATGGTCTTCATCTAGGAGCCGTTACAACATGCACACTTAAACATGTGTCTGACAGAGAGGTGAGTTAACATTAGACTCTATTTGGCTAGCTTAGTGCAACACTTTTGTCTACTGCGTATGTTTGAATCATGCATCTATACGTTTCTATATTTGTTCATAAACGTTAACTAGGTCATACGATGGGGAACTGATAAGGTTTTGTAAGGGAAATTTGAAAAATGTAAAGAAATGTTCTGTTACACAGAGCACTGATTGTTCACACCTACACCTTTTGGTCTTTAGCCAAGAACCCCAGTCCCACAGCTGCCCCATGCCGTGTGTAAGAGTCTAGTGGCAGAGATAGGCACCTACTGTCCTGGGGTGCCTGTCAGAAGAGTCTATAAGCGATACAGGTCCAGGTATCTGGAGCATCAAGGTCATGAACATCAGGAACAGTTGCAAGGTATGTATACTTACTGTCGTTCAGAAGTGATTGGTCAATATTAATTATCCTGATGAAGGCGACAGTGGTCGTTGAAAATTTGGTCTCTGGATACCTGTTGTGTTGGAATAAAGTTCAACATTTTACTATGAATATAATGATTACTACCAACACAGATGAACTTTTATGAGGATTGTTTGCTGTGTCATTTTTGTTTGCTTCGTGAATGATATGATATAGTCAAGTTAGTCTTCCCAGGAAAATCTTAATGTAATTTTAAAACAACATTTTCCTAAGTAGAATTTTTCTCCCAATTACTGGTTGCACTTGATGTACAAGGAACAGAAGAGCAGGTCAGGATGTGTGTGTCAAATACATGTCCAAATAAATGTACTTCAAAATGTCCTTGTTTCTAAAAGATGCTCACACTTTATTTTAATGCAGATTCGTCACAGCCTACCAGTCAGCCAGTCGCAACCACTGAGCCAACAGCTCTGAAGAACAAGAAAAGCAACAAGAGGAAGCTTTCAGAGGTCACTGAAGGTCAAGAACACAACACCAACAAGAGGAAGAAGACGGAGGAAGAACCTGAAGGTCAAAGGAACAGCCCAGAAGGTCAAGAGTCGAGAAAACGAGGGAGGTTGAGTAGGAGATCCAAGATGGCCGACAGAAACAAAGGTCAACAGTCGAACACGCCCAAGGAGTCAGATGGGGAGGGGGGCAGAAGGAGGAGCGGTCGGGCAAAGAGAAACTCCAGCCCAAGTCAAGAGAAGGAAGAACCAAGAAGGAGCAGCAGAAGGGCCTCAAGGAAACAAGACGAGGAAAACAAAGAGCAGAGTCAAGAAGAAGTGAAAATCGTGGAAGAGGCACCAACAGAAAGTAGTGAGACAAATCAAGGTATGTTCTTGGCAATAAGTAATTTTTTAACCTCCATCTCTTTCAATGTTCTAAGAACAAGAACAATATTCATGTTTATAGTAGAGGGGATTCATTCCTCAAGCTGACCGACATCTCCTACACGTAGTTGTACCTTAGTAAGACATCTGGAGCCACATAGTTCCCGTTTAGAACTTTTATTCAGCCTGTCACATGACCAGTTTCGCCTGTGTGGCTTCTTCAAGTGTACAGAGGCTAATGACACAAGTACATGAAGTTCTCACTTATACACCTTTCTGGTGCATATTGCCCTCAGGTCAGTTACATGGGGTTTGGATCGCCCTGACGAACAATATTCATGATTCATGTAATGACGTTAGCTTTTATTCTTGCAGATGGCATCCAGGACTCACTGTGGACAGATAAGTACCAGCCTAGAAGTTCCTCGGAGGTTATTGGTAACACAGGGGCCATGAAGAAACTCAAGGGCTGGCTACACGACTGGAAGATCAGGGCAGACAAAGAGATGAGAAGGATGATGAAAGAGATGAAGAAACAAAAGAAAGCCCAGAAAAATGCAGGTTAGTTTACTGGTGCTACCCTGTTTTAGAATCTTTCAAATACCGTAGCTGCTATTGTTTGAAATATGAGTACAAAATCATGACAAAGAAATGTAGACGAATGATATGATAGTCATAATGAGTAAAAATTGCAATGGGAGATGTTATGGATAATGTTTGAGCAACAAATTGTAGAAAAATGTTTACTATCATAAATATAGTTATGTATCTGCTGTGTACATGTACATGTAAATGTACAAATGTATGACTGCTGTTTGTCAATCCCAGCCAAAAAGTCGGGTTCCCAAGGCTCGGGTGACTGGTGGGACGATGATGACAGTGACTTTGACATCAGCGATGATGGAGACAGTGACTACAATGAGGAGGAGGAGGAGGATGGCCTCTGCAACACCATGCTGCTTCTGGGGCCAACTGGCATCGGGAAGACTTCAGCTGTGTATGCCTGTGCCCAGGAACTAGGATACAAGGTGAAAGTCCAGTCAGATTTGCCATCAAGATAATTTCCGGGACAGAAGTATTGTTTTGGGTAGTGCTAATTCATGCTAGGTTTGTATGTTTGGGTTCCAAAGTGAGTGGACAGAGATTGGGAAGTCAGAAGTTGATTGACACTGGTTTGACAGATTTGTTTATTATGATTATTCACAAAGTGAAAGGGAGGGCAAAACAGGTTCATACACACCTTTACAAGTTGCCCTCCCCCACAGATGTGGTCGTCAAGAATGTATGAAACATAAACCATGGTGTTATAGCAGTAATTTACATCATATAAATGTACGAGTAATAAAGGATTGTATGATGTAATTCATTAACGCAAACTATATCTACTTTCCAAAAATTTGAAAAATCTGATTTCCTGCTTATCACTGATACGAAAAAGATATAGACAATGTGCAGAAATCCAGATTTTATGAACACAAGATAATCTGATTTTGTGCTGATGTCACTACTTCCATCTGCCCAGGTGTTTGAGGTGAACGCTGCGTCCCTGCGGAGTGGGAAACAGGTGCTGACGCAGCTGCGGGAGGCCACGCAGTCGCACCAGGTGTCCAAACAAGCCCAGACAGGCGGCGCAGCAAGTCTCTTCAAAACCTCACTCACACCACAGAAGGGTAAAACCTCTCATACTTACACATGTCAGAGATGGTACTTCAAAATATTCTTCTATTGACTGATAGAAATCCAGGATATTTATGTTTACTGAAGGAAAACATATTGTTTTTGCTCAGTTTCCTCTTCTCCAAACACAAAAGGTCAATGGCCTGGGCCAGACAGTCTATCACCATGGTAACTAGTGTTGGGTTACATCATGTTGCAATATCATAGCAGGAGGGATTTAGACTCACCATTTATATGAATGTTTGAGTAAAAATTAACAGAGCAGATTATGCGAAGGTAAACATCATGCATTTGCTTTCCAAATGTTACCTTTATAGTTTTTATTACAATGACTTTGCAACACAGAAAGCACAACTATAACAGCTCATGTTACAAGTTGTTATAAGTCATGTGTATCATTTGTAAAAGATAATCATGAGTTTGTGATACTATTTTGCAGTCAAACCAGGAGCAAACAAAGCATCCATGCATTCTTCCTTTGCTGGCTTCTTCAAGAAGACAGAAGATGGGACGAAGGAGGAAGACAGCAGAGGTCCAGCAGGAAGCAAGAAAGTCAGAAGATCACTTGAGCTCGGACAATCGTCAGAGGCCAAAGGAAATAAGAAAGTGAAGAAGTCAGGTTGGTAACTGTAGTCAATGTGGAAATATCAATATCATGATTAGTCGATGAGGAAATATTAATTCCATGTACACAACAAGTGATGATGTGTTAAACATTACTGTCTTTATTTTGTAAAGGTTATGTCTTTATTTTCTAAAGATTATGTTGAAAATAAACACATAAATCCATTTAAACTGTAGCCCCTTTTTAATGTATTCATCAAGATAGGGGTCTTACTTAGATTGCGAGCATCAGTAGGTTAAGAGTTTTAGACTAAGTTTGCACATTTAAAAATTGTGTGTTTTAATGGACAGTTGCAAGTGTCCTTTGTGAATAATGTAAAAAAAAAACTAACATTCTTGGTTGTTATACAGAGAAGAGAAGATCCAGTAAAGGCAGTGGCAACAAAAAGTCATCCGAAAAGCAGACAGAAGCGAAACCAGCTGCAACACAAGAACCTACACGAGCCATGACTTCACTCATTCTGTTTGAAGAGGTAAAGTGTCATCATTCTTGCTACCTTGTGTTACAAAGCTTCTAGCAATTTTCTAAATAAAGAATGGAGCTTTTTTTCTGCTGATAAACTTGATGATGATTGTGAATGGAAAGTGATCTTTATATCATGTTGGACATGATTTATATGAATTTTTAATGTATCAATAGAAGCATGTAGATTTAGTATTCCCCTTGCCCCCCCCCAGGTTGATGTAGTATTTGAAGACGACAAAGGATTTCTTCCTGCCATCAACACACTGATGACGACCACCAAGAGGCCCATCATTCTCACTACCTCAGGTCTGTATGGGTTCTTTTATCATTTTGTTTATTTATTTGTTTATTGGGTGGGCTTACTACTAGTGATGCATACCGGTTCACTGGACTTGGATCCGGACTTGTAAGAATGTTTAGGTTCAAGTCCAAAAAAACCTAAAAGTCAAGAACCGAGTCCGGACTTATTACCATAGAAGACCATTTCACATACCCCTTTTCTTTCCAAACCACCTAAAACCCTCCGTAGATTGTAAAATCTTTGCTGCAAAACGAAGAAAACATTGCCATGGGCATCGTCAAGTACCGGCCTCCATGTTATGTTGCCAAAGTTTCACCCGGACAACATTGCAAGGTTGCCAACATGCAATTTTGTATATGCCATGGGTTTAGGTCCGGACTTACCAAGTCCGGAACTGAACCTAAACCTCTGGACTTGAATCCGGACCTGAACCTAAAATTGGGTTTAGGTATGCATCACTACTTACTACTGTACTCTCTTCGCAGCCTGGGGCTGAATTGTTCTGACTTTTGAATCAGACATAAGGATAACAATGTTTGCGTCTTACTTTCTACTTTAATTCAAGTCGAGTCATGTTATCCATTGCTTAGAATTTTAGATGTCTTCTGCTACTTTCCAGATGCCACCTTTCCTGCCAGATTTGAAGGAAGATACGAAGAACTGGCATTCAAACAACCTTTGCAGGTAAGAAGTATTGAAATGTTGTTCTTAACATCACTTTATCCTGTCCTCAAAATGTCCTATTGTCAATATTCTTTAAGTAAGCAATGGTATTACAAAAGTCTCCTTATGAAATAATGTGACATGTGTGAGTGTATGTTGTTTGGTTAGTGCAGCTTTGATATAAAACTTTCAAAAGAGAATTCAAAGTAATTCTCCCCCCTCTCTTGCAGCCTATTGTAACATCCCACCTGCAGCTGTTGTGCCTTGCGGAGAACCTCCCCACCAAGAGAGCCGATGTGGAGGCTACAGTGGCGCTGAGCTGTGGGGACATACGACACGCCATGTTGTCCCTGCAGTTCTGGGCTGAGTCAGGAGGGGGCAGGGTTGAGAAGCAGATGGCTTCAGATCTCCACAAGGTACCAGAATCTGTTATTGTCATGTCTGTCAGCACTTACCAGTAGCTGTTTAGGACACAATGTTCACTGTGAGTCAACAGAAAAAAAAAGTTGTCATGTCTGTCAGCACTTACCAGTAGCTGTTTAGGACACAATGTTCACTGTGAGTCAACAGAAAAAAAAAGTTGTGTCAGTTCTGCATAGATACTCCATCAGCAAACAATATTTATGTTTACCGAAGGAAAACATGTTGTTTTTGCTCAGTTTCTTCTTCTTCTCCAAACAGTGACCTCTGACCTGGTCAATGACCTGTACCAGATTGTCTCTCACCATGGTAACTGGTGTTGGGTTACATAATGTCGCAATTTTATGGTAGGAGGGATTTATTCTCTTTGATTTTAGGTTGCCACAAGCACGGAAAATATGTCACAACCTGCGCAAATTGAGGAATCTTCTCAGAGCCAAACTTGCGACACGGCCGACATATCTGTCAAACCTGGTGACAAGACCACCATGGTGCTGGGACCACTGCCTGATGATGAAGACGCCATGGACGCCGATGACTTCCTCAGCTGCAGGAGAACAGCTGCAACACTCAGGAACAAGGTGCCTCTGGCTGCAGATGACACATGCGACAGCTGTCCATCAAGTCAAGAGGTTGCTATGGAAACAGTTGCCATGGAAGCAAGCCCGGAGACAGTGGACGTACATTCCCAATGTTTGGAGAGTGTTCTTGGAGTCCACAATGTCGCAGGCTGCAAGAATCAGCTTCTTGAAATGTTCAAGGTACAAAAAAGATTTTTCATATTTTGTGTAACTGAATGTGACAGTAAAGGTTTTTGAGGTTGTATATTCCATTGTTGTATCTTATATTATATACTGACTGTGTGTTTTACATCTTTTCAGACTCAAGACTCTGACCAAGAATGTCTTGCTAGGCAGATAACTCTCACAGCCAGCTGCCAGTGGCAGGGCAGAAACCTTCTGTTCTACAATGTCGAACAACTGCTGCCCCTCCCCACAACTCCATGGATCAGGCCCAGATGTAACAACTCGAGTGTACTTCAGACTGTACCATCACAAGATGAAGAGAAAGGAAAGGGGAGACAGAGGAGAGGGGAATCTCTCCTGGATAGTTCACTGTTTGATGCAGAAGACTTGCCAAGTTCTCAGCCCAAAGATGCTACAACAGAAGAGGACAAGAAATCTCTACAAGTAACAACAGAAGGAAGGACTAAAAATGAAGAAGATGTTGATGCTCAGAGCACCACAACGGTTGTAGAAAAAGAAGAAAATGTCTTCAAAAAGAAGCTCATCTGCCAAGCGCTTGCATCCTTCTGTGAACTGTCAGAAAACAAATCCTTCCTTGACTCACACAGACACAGCTCTTCTCAGAAGGAAGGGTTCTGTAAGACTGACCAATCAGCATGGAGAGCAAAGGTCAAGTCAGGTATGACTGACAGGGTGAGGATTGTGGAGGAGTCTGATTGGAGGACAGCAGAGATGGGGGCGGAGCTTCGTGCTGCAGTGGAAGTGATGAGTATGAGGCAGTGTAAAAGAGCAGTAGGAAAGCTAGTGTCAGAATTCACACAAGATTCGGGCAGTAAAGACTTGTGTGAAGAACTAACACTGCCAGTTGTAGGTGATGCAGCTAACTTGAGGACAGTAAATCTACAGGACGAAACACAAGCACAGCTGAGGTATGTCCTGATTTTTCTTCTAGACATTTGAGTCTCCCAATGTTTCTTCTACATTTGTATGGCTCACCCATAAAATCATGAACTAAGACACATGTCTGAAAGCAGATAGTACTAAAAATCTACCTCAGCAATTGACTTATTCCTCCCTTGCCTTTTTAACAATACATGTACATCCAGATGTGAAATATTACGTGTACTACCATTTCATCATTGGGGTGAGGTAGATGAAAAAGTAGATAGGTAGATAGCCATTGGAAAAATGATATGTTTCAAATTCACATTCTTCAATGCTTTTTTTATTTAAGTTGTCCTTTCTTTGTCACAGCATGTTCAGCACGAGACACCAGACTGTACATGGAGTTATGTCAGCACTGCCTAACCTGACTCACGGTCAGCACAGGGCCGTCGCACTGGACTATCTCCCCACTCTCCGCTCCATCTGTGCCACAGAGAAACTCAGGGAAGCATCCAAACTCAAAAGGAGGTATGAATACTACTGCTACAGACATTGTTAGATCTCCAGGGCTCTCTTTAATAGATGAAATGTACCCAAAGATCTATTCCATCATTGCACTATTGAATTTTCTATTGTTGATTTGGACAAAGAAGTTTAAAATGTTATATGAATCGTTGACTCATCTATTGTTTTGTACGTAGGTTAATTTCGTTGTACCCATGTATTTGTCTGTATATCTACTTGCAGTTTTAGACCTTACAAAAGTCGCTGTACTTTTGTTGTGTCAATAAAGTTCTCTCCTCTATGAACCACTGGGACTGGGAGATGAGAAAAAATAATAGATCCTTCCATGTAGTGGATGCATTCTACTCAAAATAAAACATAAATAAGCATGTATTTTATCTAGAAAACATTCAGTGATTACCATGTAGACAAGTAATATTTCAAACCTTGACCACAAAATTTTCTATCCTTTGCAGGTTTTTGCACTACCTGGATAACAATGGATTGTCACTCAAACAATCTGTTCTAAATGCCCTGGCTCAGGAATTCTGAAGAGGTACCAGTATTCTAGAAGTGTGTGTAAATTAAAGTGTGGTGAATGAATTGTGAGAGAATGGTGATTGTGAGATTGTTTTTACAGATTTCTTCCTGTTTAACTTGTAACCTGTAGCTGTACAGAGAAGGGTATTTGCCTTTGAATCAACTAAGATATAAATTTCATCCTTTGTCATCAATGAGCAAATGTTTTTCTACACGTTTCATATTTTAGAGATTGAAATGAATTTGACAATACATGAGGTGACGGGTTAGTGTATTACCAGTATATGTACCAACTTTGACTACTTCTAATCTATTGTATACATATTTTCTTTAAATAAAGTTGTTTGAAGTAGTCTTTAAGATGGAGCATGACCTGATGTGTAACTGTTCGAGAAACAAATGAATTGTGTGAAGTATTGTAATTTTTGACAAAAATTTAGGAGGATATTTTTGCATTTTAGCCTTGGGCACTCCCAGGACAATACCAGGTAAACTGGTTTTCCCAAAAATTATGATCAGTAATCAGTACTCTATTCAAACTAATGGTCTAGCAGCATGTCTGTAACAGTGGAGTTTATCAACTGTATAAAACTTGATGTGAAAAGATTTGTGTCCTTGCATGAATTGGTGATGTACATGTGTAATTATAGAAAATTAAAGTGATTAAGTGTGATATCTTCCTGTGTTTTTACAGTATCACTTTATTCACATATTGAAATAAAATTTCGTATTACGTATTGAAATAAACTTTCATCTACTTTCCCTCCAGAACACAGAGTCATTGAAACGAACCACCAGAGCTACATGTAGGGAAATATTTATTATGGAATGACCCCCTTTTGTCTGTCACAAGATTATGTGTTTTACGAAGTAGACCAGAGCGGCAGGTAGGCTGGAACAGCCATCGGGCTTCCATCTGGTCCTTCCTCCCACTCGAAACAGGCACCCATAACGTTACTGAACAGGTAACCAACCTACAGGGAGAGAAGAAAACAAAGTGAACAAGACTGGCAATGAAAACATACATTGCCATGGCGACGGTGGTTGCTGTGAGGGTTATTGTTTGCATGGCACTGCCATCTTTTCTTGATTTTGAGGAAGACTTGGTACCTGTTAAGTCCAGACAGATGCAGTGCACTCCTCCCCAGAGTGGACCCTGTCTGAAATATGTCTCTGTCTTAGCAAAAGATTTTAGAATACTGGGAAGCATGCAAACCTCGGCTGGCTCCTGGCAAGATTCCAGGACCTTTGACCTGTCATTCTGCCTGTCAATCTTCCCCCATCCATGTGCTGTCAACCTACCCCGTCTAGACACTTATTCCGTACTCAGAAGTGTGCATAGTCGTAATAGCATTGAATGGTTAAAATCCTGAAAACAGCAGGATTCAGACCTGGATCGAGATCATACCTCAAACGCGTTTAGGTCAAGTAAGAACCACCACCATCAAATAAAACTAGAACAACCTGTTGATAACTTGTTAGGCCACAGCAATTTAATTTGTCGGTTGTCAGATTTGCCTCTTCATTTTTTTTTTCTGATTTTCAAAAAAAAAAGACTGGTTCGGAATCAAGTAAAAAATGCTCATATTTTGAGTAAACAGTTGAGGAAAGTCGTTTACTTCCTAGTTGTTACACTTTTTCCATCTATCAATGCAGTGGTTTGAATTTTAACCCAGCCTTTTGTGTTGCCTTAATGGCTACGACCTAAGCATTTGAGGCTATGATAGGATGCCTAGACCTGTTATTATTTTTTTCGCCCTGTCGCTTCATATTTTTTCTTTAAAAAATCCGAGAACCAAAAAATTAAATTGGTGTGGCCTTAGTACTGTAGTCCTCATGCCTGTATGCAGGGGGG